TGTCAATCCTGGCATAGTAAACCATGTGTTTGTCAGATTCAAAATGGCCAATACCAGTCCATTTCAGTTCACTAATGTCTAAGATATTGATATTTATGCGTTCCATTTTATTTTTGACAACTTCCAATTTTCCCAGATTTATACTTCATACATTCCATGTTCCAGCACATACGGGGTATGCAAAAGGAAGGATTTTGGAGGTTTGAATCTGATGCATGTAGTTATGAATCTCAGCAGATTTAAAGTTCAACCTAGAGTGTTGTAATGGATCTATAGTGCACTGTGATGTATTTAAGCTTTATGGAGCAAATTTCTCAATTTATCATGAAATTCATTAAAGTCAATTCACAAGATTGTTGTGAGTGTTATAGTAAATAACATGTGAATGTATTTGGACACGGTTATGTTTCCCCTTAGATTTTTTCATTATATAAGACACTTAACAACTTGGTAGAATAATGGAAATCCACATACACACATGGAGTTCTGGTGTGGCCCTGTAAGATAAGTACTAGAATGTTAATCACAAGGTCAGTGGTTCAAAGCCACTAGTCATTCCTCAGAAACCCCATACAGGGTTGCTACAAGTCAGAACAGACTGGGTGGTACTTAACATCAGCAATAACATACACATATACATGTAATTAAATTTAGACTAAAACATTGAATACTTTCTTACTTTTCTCCAGTGAAGCCTTTTCTGATATGAAGGGTATGCTCATCAGAAAATACAGAGTCTTACTATTATTAAAAACATCCCATTGTGATTTATTTGATAGAAGAGATTTACACAGAAGTGAAAATGGTTCCAACTGACTGTTGACATATTGGCACTGCTTCCATTTGGATTCCGACAGCCACTGAAGATGTTGACTTTTACATCTTTCAAATATGCCTAATAGAAACATGATCATGTTAGAATCCTTTGTTTTTTAGTTACTCATTACAAAGTCATGATTAATAAATATTTGTTGTTGGGAAACAAGCCTTTTTGCATAAAAAAATTGGCATAGAAGGTAATTTTAAAAGGAGATTTAAGTTTAAAGGTAGAAATATTTTATTAAAACCTTATACAGGGTCGCTATGGGTTAGAACCTACTGAATGGCACTATCAACAACAACAACAACAA